GAACTTGGGGCCTAGGATTGAGTTCGAACCCTGAACCTCGAACTCGGGGCCTAGGATTGGAATTGGGGGCTGAACCTCGAACCCTGAGCCTGGGCCTTGAATTCAGTGTCTGAACCTTGAACTCAGTGTCTGAACCTCGAACTCAGGGCCTGAACCTCGAACTCAGGGCCTTGGGTCAAACTCACAGACCAGGCCTCGAACTCAGAACCAGGAATTGAACTCAGGGCCTGAACCTTGAACTCGGGGCCCGGCATTGTCGTCAGGGCCAAGTCCTCGAACTCAGGGCCTTGGGTCAAACTCAGGGCCTGAACTTCGAACTTGAGGCCTTGGGTCGAAGTCGGGTCTGGGGTCTCGAACTCGGGGCCTTGGGGCGAACTTGGGCCCTGAACCTCGAACTCGGGGCCTGAACCTCGAATTTAGGCCTAGGATTGGATTTGGGACCTGGGCCTCGAACTCGGGGCCTGAACCTTGAACTTAGCCCAAAGACTGGATTTGGGGTCTGAACCTTGAACTCGGGGCCTGGCTCTCGAACTCGGGGCCACAGTCTTCAACTCGGGGCCTGGGTCTCGAACTCGGGGCCGGGGTCTTGAACTGAGGCCTAGGATTGCATTTGAGGCCTGAACCTCGAACTCACAGCTTGAGCCTCGAACTCGGGGTCTGAGCCTCGAACTCGGGGCCTGAACCTCGAACTCGTGGCCTGAACCTCGAAGTCAGAATCTGGACCTTTAACTCACAGACTAGGCCTCGAACTCGGAACCAGAAATTGAACTCAGGGCCTGGGACTCGAACTCGGGGCTTTGGGTCGAACTCGGGGCCTGAACCTCGAACTCGGGGCCTGAACCTCGAACTCGGAGCCTGAACCTCGAACTCCAACCCTGAACCTCGAACTCTGTGTTTGGGCCTCGAACTCAGGACCTGTGTCTCGAACTCGGGGCCTCGGCCTCGAACTCGGGCCCAGGATTGAATTTGAGGCCTGGGCCTGGAACTCACAGCCTGGGCCTTGAACCCAGAGCCGGGGTCTCGAACTCAGAACCTGGGCCTCGAACCTGGGGCCTGAGCCTGGAATTCAGGCCCTCGAACTCACAGCCTGAACCTCGAACTCGGGGCCTGAACCTCGAACTCAGGCCTAGCATTGAATTTGGAGCCTGGGCCTGGAACTCAGGTCTGAGCCTCGAACCCAGGACCTGGGCCTCGAACTCGGGGCCTGAACCTCGAACTCGGGGCCTGAACCTCGAACTCACGGTCTGAACCTCGAACTCACGGCCTGAACCTCGAACTCAGGATCTGGGTCTGATTTCTGTCCCTGGGTCTGGAACTTGGGGCCTGAACTTTGACCTCACAGCCTGAACCTTGACCTCATGGCATAGGCCTTGAACTCAGGCCTCGCATTGGATTTGGGGCCTGAACCTCGAACCCGGGGCCTGAGACTCAAACTCCAGTCCTGGGCCTCGAACTCGGGGTCTGAACCTTGACCTCACCATCTGAACCTTGACCTCACAGCCCGGGCCTTGAACTCAGAGATTGGGCCTGAACTCGGGACCGGGAATTGAACTCCAGGACCTGGGCCTCGAACTCGGGGCCTGGGATTGAATTCAGGACCTGGGCCTCGAACTCGGGACCCGGGTCTTGAATTCAGGCCTAGGATTGAACTCGGGGCCTGAACCTCGAACTCAGAGCCTGAACCTCGAACTCGGGGCCTGGGCCTCGAACTCGGGGCCTGGACGTTGAACTCCAAACCTGGCTCTCGAACTCGGGGCCTGGGTCTCGAACTCGGGGCCTTGGGTCGAACGCGGGGCCTGGGCCTCGAATTCTGGGCCTTGGGACTCGAACTCGGGGCCTTGGGTCGAACTCAGGGCCTGGGACTCGAACTCGGGGCCTGAACCTCGAACTCACAGCCTGAACCTCGAACTCGGGGCCTGAACCTCGAACTCGGGGCTTGAACCTCGAACTTAGGGCCTAGAGTTGGATTTGGGGCCTGAACCTCGAACTCGGGGCCTGGGCCTCGAACTCGGGACCAGAGCCTCGAACTTTGAGCTCCGACCTGGGACTTGAACTCCTGTCCTGGTCCTGGAACTCACAGACCAGGCCTCGAACTCAGGACCAGGAACTGACCTTGTGGCCTGATCCTCGAACTCGGGGCCTGAACCTCGAACTCGGGGCCTGGGACTCGAACTCGGGGCCTCGCATTGGATTTGGGGTCTGAACCTTGAACTCGGGGCCCGGCATTGTCGTCTGGGCCCAAGTCCTCGAACTCAGGACCTGGGTTTGAACTTGGGGCCTAGGATGGACTTTGAAGCCAGAACCTCGCACTTGGGGCCTGAACCTCGAACTCGGGGCCTGAACCTCGAACTCTGTGTTTGGGCCTCGAACTCAGGACCTGTGTCTCGAACTCGGGGCCTGAGATTGAACTCGGGGCCTAGGATTGCATTTGAACCCAGAACCTCGAACCCAGGGTCTGAACTTTGAACTCATCCTGGGCCTTGAACTCGGGGCTTAGACCTCGAAGTCACAGCCTGAGCCTTGAACTTGGGGTGTGAACCTCGAACTCGGGGCCTGGGACTCGAACTCGGGGCCTTGGGTCGAACTTGGGGCCTGAATTCGAACTCGGGGCCTGGGACTCGAACTCGGGGCCTGAACCTCGAACTCAAACCCTGAACCTCGAACTCGGGGCCTGAACCTCCAACTCCGCCTGGGATTGGATTTGAGACCTCGGCCTCGCACTCACCACCTGGGTCTTAAATTGAGGCCTAGGATTGAACTTGGGGCCTGAACCTCGAACTCAGAGCCTGAACCTCGAACTCGGGGCCTTGGGCCGAACTCGGGGCCTGAACCTCGAACTCGGGGCCTGAACCTTGAACTCAGGGCCTGAGACTCGAACTCGGGGCCTTGGGCCGAACTCGGGGCCTGAACCTCGAACTCGGGGCCTGAACCTCGAACTCGGGGCCTGAACCTCGAACTCGGGGCCTGAACCTCGAACTCAGAGCCTGAACCTCGAACTCGGGGCCTTGGGCCGAACTCGGGGCCTGAACCTCGAACTCGGGGCCTGAACCTCGAACTCGGGGCCTTAGGATCTGAACCTTGAACTCACAACCTGAAACTTGAACTCACAACCTGAACCTTGAATTCACAACCTGAACCTTGAACTCACAACCTGAACCTTGAACTCACAACCTGAACCTTGAACTCACAGCCTGAACCTTGAACTCACAACCTGAACCTTGAACTCACAGCCTGGGCCTTGAACTCCAAGGCTGGACCTTGAACCCAGGCCCAGGGGGCGTGGCCTGCGCTGCCTAGCAACAGCACAGGGGGCGTGGCCTGCGCTGCCTAGCAACAGAACAAGGGGCGTGGCTCTATCCACAGCGCCAGGGGGCGTGGCCTAAGTCCCTAGCCAGAGCGCCAAGGGGCGTGGCCTGCGCTGCCTAGCAACAGCACAGGGGGCGTGGCCTGCGCTGCCTAGCAACAGAACAAGGGGCGTGGCTCTATCCACAGCGCCAGGGGGCGTGGCCTAAGTCCCTAGCCAGAGCGCCAAGGGGCGTGGCCTGCGCTGCCTAGCAACAGCGCAAGGGGCGTGGCCTGCGCTGACTGTCCACAGCGTCAAGGGGCGTGGCCTGCACTCCCTAGCCAGAGCGTCAGGGGGCGTGGCCTGCGCTGCCTAGCAACAGCACAGGGGGCGTGGCCTGCGCTGCCTAGCAACAGAACAAGGGGCGTGGCTCTATCCACAGCGCCAGGGGGCGTGGCCTGCACTCCCTAGCCAGAGCGTCAGGGGGCGTGGCCTGCGCTGCCTAGCAACAGCACAGGGGGCGTGGCCTGCGCTGCCTAGCAACAGAACAAGGGGCGTGGCTCTATCCACAGCGCCAGGGGGCGTGGCCTGCACTCCCTAGCCAGAGCGTCAGGGGGCGTGGCCTGGGCTGCCTAGCAACAGAACAAGGGGCGTGGCCTGCGCTGACTGTCCACAGCGTCAAGGGGCGTGGCCTGCGCTCTGAAGCAGAGCGTCAGGGGGCGTGGCCTGCGCTGATTATCCAGAGCGTCAGGGGCGTGGCCTGCGCTCTCTCAGGTCCCGCTGATTGGCGCTGCGCGCCGTGGGCGTGGCCTGGGCGCCGTGGGCGTGGCCTGGGCGCCGTGGGCGTGGCCTG